ACGTCATCTGCTTTGCATTATCACCATTTGTTAAGACATTTTTTTCCAGAGGTTAAAAGAATCTACCACACCCTCTGCACCCCAGTCCAGTCCCAAACCCCACTGATCTGAGACCAGTTTCTGTAGTTTCTGTGTTGATGATATATACTAAAGCTGAATGCTATGCCTAAGCAAATTTTCAGCTCTGAAATCCCATTGTCCAAAGAAAACACAACAAAATCTCATAGAAATAGGCTGAACCCCATAGAGACAAGTCCCTTTCTACCTTATGAGACCAGGGTGACCCCTAAGGCAGGGATCCCTCAGCTGAACCCCCATGCACCCACCCCGCACTATTCTTCTGGAAATAGATCAATTCTCTGACCTGATTTCCTTATGCAATTCCAGCCACAGCTCCCCACTCGCAGCCCTACACTCACCCCAACCCTCCTCTCAGTTTCCCCTTATGGGAGGTGAAGTGTTTCTGAGAGCAACTGAAAAGTGAAAGATCTGCTGTCCTAGTTAGAGGACTTCAGTTTTCTGTTCTGAGAAATGAAGTCTCATAAGGGAAGCAGGAAATCAATTCTGAGTAGGGTGTTGGCATGTCTGGCTAGAGGCTGGATAGACTTTTCATCCTCCAACTAGGCAGAATTCTAGGCACTGAGGCAGCAGGGGAGGGCAGGGCACAGTTGCAAAATGCCGTGGTGTCTCTGCAGGCTGCCTGGAGGGTGTTGGCAGGGGAAGAGCTGAGGCTACTGCAGTGCTGACACCTACTGTTTGGATCCCTCTTGTCCATCAGAGCAGCTATTAATTGTGAAAGAGCAATCAGCAAACCAGGAAGAGGAAAATCCTTGTTAGGGTTTACCCAGAAGGGTAAGACCTCTGCAAGACCTTCTAGCTTGTGTTTGACCCTGACCATCCCATTCCCATAATCTGACGATATGTCCACAGACTCTCGACCTGAGTTTTGCCTGACCATGGGTACCTGCTTCTTTTCCTGGGGAGTATGTGATTGGAAGGTCCTCAGAGAGGGAAAGTTCAGGACTCAAGGTACTTTCCTCGCACATGACACTCATAGCTCCCTTAGTGATGTTTAAGAAAGAACTGGGAGCAGCTCCAGAGTCAAGAGCAATGTTGAATGTGACTTCCTTCCTTCCTTCTCCCCAACTGTCATTAACAGTTACACAGACAAAAAAACCCTGAAAACAGGAAAAGGCATCACAGAGAAGAGGGCTCTGCCCATTTAAAGCACCATCCTCCTGTCCCCTCCACCCCCCCGAAACCACTGGCCTTCCCTGGAGTGGGAATCTATGAACTCCATAAACCTCTAAATAGCATTTCCCCAAACTGGCAGGGTACAGTTGGGGCAGGTGTTCTGTTTTTGCTCAGTTAAGGAAGACATATTTTCAGGGGCCAGAGAGATATTACAGTGAGGTAAAACTCTTGTATGAAGCTGCATAGGTTCGATATCACATATGGTCCCAGAGCCCCAACAGGAATCATCCCTGAGCATAGCCAGGTGTTCACAGAAACAAACTCAAAAATTCTTTGTGAGATTTCAACCATTTGGTGGTCTGAGTGATAGTATAGCAAGTAAGATACTTTTCTTGAATGTGCCAGCAAGGGGTGTAATCCTGGTGACTCATATGGTTCCCGAGTCTGCCAGGAGTGACCCTTGATCATAGAGCCTGACTGAGTATAGGTGGTTAAGAAGGAAGAAAGGAAGAAGGAAGGAAGGGAAAGGAGGGAAGGAAGGAAGGAAGGAAGGAAGGAAGGGAGGGAGGGAGGGAGGGAGGGAGGGAGGAAGAAAGGATGAAGTGAGAGAGGGAAGGAGGCAGGTAGAGAAGGAGGAAGGGAGGGAGTAAGGAAGGAATGTAGGAACAAAGGAAGGAAGGAGGGAAGAAAAGAAGGAAGAAAGGAAGATTTCTAGGGAGGACATTGAGTAATATTTTTTCTATAAAGGGGGATCAGAAAGGCCAATAATTTTGGGATAGAGAGCACATTGTATTTGGCTTGGAACCTTTCCCCCATTAAACACAAAAGTCCTCCAGTTCTTGAGAGACTTGTCTTTTAGATAGTGTATTCAAGTTATCCAAGGTGGAATAGGGTGTTAAAATAAAGTTCTCTTCTTTGTGTGCTCCTATTTTCCTAATTTATTGCTCTTAACCTCTGTCAAGATGATGCTCTATAATTTTCTTTCAAACTACCCATCTTTTTTGGGCCCGAGAGAGAGCTCAAGCAACTGAGCACCTGCCTTTTGTACAGGAGACGAGTATTAATCTCTGGCACCATGTGTCTCCCCTAAAAACTGTGGAGTTTTGCTGCAAAACAAAACCAGACAAAAATAGTGATGATAACATATCCATCTTTAAACTAGACAATGATGCCAAAGCCCATCATTCATGAGCCATTGGAGAAAATGGCTGTCCCAGCTCTCCTGCAGAATCCTAGGATTCAGCTGCACACACTCCTGCAGAAGCCCACCAAGAACCTGGTCTATACCTTGTCATTTAAGTTTGTAGATTGTTTGTGGTAGGGGTCTGAAAAAAACCTGTTCTGGGTGGGAAAAAGAGCTCTGAGGGGTATCATGCCACAAGCAGGTCAACCTGTACTTGTGGGGTCAGTGAATCAACAGCCTGATGGTTCCTTCAGGCTTCCTGATACCCTCAAATTTCTCTGTGCCTTTGGCTGAACCCCAACAAGTTTGAGCCAAGTTTACCAAGAAATTAAAAGGCCAAAATTAGGTATATGGGAGCCACATCCACAAATCACCACTGGCTCAGATATACAAGCTCATTTATTGATCTTATTTCAGAGACCCATAAATCTTGAAAGAGATCAAAAGCTGCAGTTAGGGCTAGCAGCACAGCGCAATGCAGGCGAGTGAGTGCACCCTACAGGGCATATGCCAATAGTTTATTTCTCTGGAAAAGATGAAAACAAGGGACATGATCCAGAGACTCAAAAAGAAATCTCTGAATTGAGCAGCTCAATGCAGAGATGCCTCAGACTTTAAGCCATGCCAACCTCACCAAGCTTCCTCAGATGGGATCAGGCGTCATCCCTCTACATGCCCCCTAAAAACACTGTTAGCTGCCAACTTCCAGAACCCAATGGGAAATGCAAGTACGCAGGTTCAGTGACAGCAAACTCCAGTCCTCAAGGGATAGGGGGTGGCTGGTCCCTCTCATCTCCTGTCCCCATGGAACACTGAAGGTCACGGCCACAAACTGCATCTGGCTGCTACTTAAGTACCTGAATGGCCATGATCCAGACACACACAAAAGAATCTCTGAAATGAGCAGCTTGCTACAGAGATTTCTCCAGACCGTCCACCCCCAATTTTCTAAATTTTATAATTCCAGGAGCCTGTGGCCGCTCTCATGGCCACATGACAACTTATGCTATTCTAACAAGTAATACCAAAGAGAGTATGGGGGAGATTGCCTGCCATAGAGGCAGGTGGAGGGGTGGGATGGCTGGGGAGGGGGGCTGGATATTAGGGACATTGGTGGTAGAAGATGTGCACTGGTGGAGGGTTGGGTGTTTGATCATTATATGACTGAAACTCAAACAGAAAATCTTTGTAATTGTATCTCATGGTGATTCAATAAAAAAAAATAAAGAAAGAATTTTTTTTTATTAGTGAAACACCATAAGGTACAGTTGTAGACTTACAAATTTTTGTGCTTGGGTCTTAGTTGTACAATGATCAAGTACCCATCCCTTCACCAGTGCGCATTTTCAACCGCCAAGGAAAATAAAGAAAATTAAAAGAAAAAAGAGCTCAGGTGCTGAAAACATAAGCTCTGGGCCCAATTTGATATAAACACACACTAGTCCCAAATGGAGTTGATGGTGTGTAGACTGTGGTCCTACTGCCTAATGCTCTAAAAGAAGATAGTAAATGGCCTGAGGAGAGAGAAGGAGATTAAGTTAGTTGGAGAAGAATGACCTAGAGCTGAGAGTGACTTGGAAGTTGGATCACTCACTCACGAGCCCCAGAATCTGCAATTCTTGTGATGGCCCACCCAGTCTGATGTGCAGTTCGCTCCTGCTTGGGTACTGGCTGACCTGCTCATGGCTCAAGGAGTCTATAGGGTCAATGCAGGCCAAGCTGAGACAGGCCCAGGAGAACTGGATTTTCGTCTGTCTTCCTTGGAAACAAAAGCCTACCCAGGTTCTATGTGAAAGAAAGTCATTGGAGACTGCAATGTAGGAGGAGAAGGAGAAGAGGTGTAGGAGAAGAAAGGGCATCTTTTAAAAGATATCGGGGCTGGAGAGATAGCACAGCGGGTTGGGCTTTGCCTTGCACGAGGCCAACTCGGGTTCGATTCCCAGCATCCCATAGGGTCCCCTGAGCACCGCCAGGAGTAACTCCTGAGTGCAGAGCCAGGAGTAACCCCTATGCATTGCTGGGTGTGACCCAAAAAGAAAAAAAAAAAATAAAAGATATCTCAGTATCCTGTCTTAAGGGCTGTCTGCAAACAGGGTGGGGCCATTTGTAGGTGGGGCCACTTCAAGTTAAGTTTCTTATGCTTGAAGATTACAAGCACCTCTTAAGCCTCTGAGATGAGGAAAAAACAGCAGAGAAGCAGCCCCTTGGTACTGCTAGAAAAGAAAAAGAAGCCGGATCCTTTAACTGTGACGTTCCAGCTTTCTAGGAGAAAGTGGGGATCACAGTGAAAAGAAGCCAGCTAGACCTTTTTTCTGCCTTAAGAACTGCCAAGAGGCTGCACACAGAAGCGAAGAGTCCTGACTGGCACCTGGTGGGCACAACAGTGCCAGAGATTTCTCTGGTCCCATACCGAGTCAATTTCACCGGACTACCCAAAGCAGATACAGTTTCGCTACCTTCTCCAGATGGAATCCCGGCAATCATTAACTTCTACAAACAAGTCTCTGGTATGTTTGTGTGAGGATAATTCTTGGTACCACAAGGCGTCACCGGAACTGGGAAGTTTCGTCAGGGGCTCCCAGCACACCCCGATGCCGGAAGTCACGCCCTCAACTGTCTCCGGCGCCATCTTACACACAGCAATGAGCGCCACAGCACCATAACGAGAGTATCATGTGAGTACTAATTAATTCTCTAAACTGCATGGGAATAGCTCCCTACAAAGATATCTCTGGTACTGAGCCATTTCATTTGTAGTTTAGAATCTCAGAAGTGCACGGCCACTTATGGGCTCTCCGGAGGGCTCTCTCGCCCTCTGCATTGGTGCTTTCCAGCCGCTGTGTATGGACTAGATCGGGCCGTCTCCAACTTTGTGCTCTGCATCTGTGTGTGCCCCTGTGCTCTCTTCAGTCTATTTCTCTATTTCTGACTCTGTCTCTGTATTCTCTCCTCTGGTCTCTTCCGATCTCTGGAGCCCTTCTGTTTCTCTCTCTGGATTCTTCGATTCTCTTCTGCCTCCGATCTCATAGTTTTAGTTTATATAGCAATCACATAGGGTGGTGATACAAAGGTGTGTTGGACATTAAGAAATCAACATTAGGGGTAGGACGGCTCCTCGAGGAGATTAAGTCAAGGACAAAATCTGATCTAAGGAGATTACTCCAGATTACTTGGAGATCCACTTCAGGATAGGATCCCATCCAGGGTGTGTCGCTTCCTTCTTTCCTCAACTAGTAATCCACTTGCATAGTTGTAGTAAATCTACTTCTAATATTTCTAACAATGTCATTCTGTATGGGCATAGTAAGAGATGTATCAACTTAAACTTTGGTTCTTCCTGAGGACATCTCACTATATATTCCAGACCACAGATCTCAGACCAGGTTAGTCTTCCTAACCCTAGCAGTGTCCTAATCTCGTTGTTACTTCTGGGTCATGGCAGAATTTATCCATGATCATGTGCTCAACTTACAGTTGAGTATTGTACACTTTGGCCTGGCCCATTTCGATGCCAGGGTAGCTCACAACTTGCCCTGGGTCAATTCAGTCTCTTGTCGAGACTCTGTTTTTGGGGTGCTAGGAACTAAGGGCAACTGAGTTGAGAGAGCAGATACCCAGGAGTAAAGATTATTTGGAGTCAATCAACTCCCAAGTTACAAAACATAATATAAATTGTATTCTTGTGTCCATACAGAAAGGACATTGCTTTAAGGTGAACTAAGTTTCCTGCTGCAAACCTGAAAGGAAAAACCCAGTGTTATCCTACAATATGCAAAATGAGACATGGAAAATAAATTATCTAGCGTCTGCCCATGGAAGGCAGGCTTGTATGGTTATGAGAAAATTTGAGCAAAATATAATGCCCTAATATAGAGAGAGAATGTCTGAGCAATTGTCTGCTATAGAAGCTGGGTAAGGACTGGGATGGAAGTGTGTGTGTGTGGGGGGGGGGCGGATGGGGGAATAATGGGGACATTGGTGGTGGAAAGTTTGCACTGGTAGAGAATGGGTGATCGGATGGTTGATCATTGTGTAGATGAATCTCAAACATCAAAGCTTTATAACTGTATCTCACAGTGGCTCAATAAAAATTTTTTTAAAAAAAGAACTGCCCAGAGAAGATTGCCACCTTCTAAATGGGAGGTGGATGCTTGTTTTTTTTCTGATAAGACTTTAGAACTAAGAGTCTGAAAGCAAAGATGCAGGTAAGAAGAGACTCAGTCTGCAACACCTACTCCTCTTGTGCTATGTATGTTATCATAGAGCTCCCAAATACTGCAGGAGAGGGGATAGCAGTTTGTGCTGGTTCATTGTTCCCAGGTTCTTCAACATTTCAAGAATGAAATACAGAGCAATAAAATTCTCACTCAGAATTAGAAAGTAGAAAAGTTTATTGGAAAGTGGAAGAGAGTGGAAAAGTAACTCCCCATGGGGGGGGGGGGGGAGATCTTAGGATAGGACTAAGTTAGCTGTGGAACTTTTTGTAGGGAGTTGTCTCTGTTACAGAGTATGCAGGAAAGTTAAAGATAAGGGTTGATTGGGAAGGCCCTTTTAGTATAAATTGGGCTCTCTGCATTCCTTAACAATTCCTTGACAAGAATGCTAGAGAGAATGCAAGGATCCAGAAGTTCATTACCTGGCCTTTGCCTTGGGTATTGCCCATCATCTTACCCTCAAATCAGCCTAAGCTCTGGGGCATTATTTTATGTTTTACAATTGTTAACTCCCTATTCATCAGAAAAAGGACAGGAACTTGCGGGAAGCAAAAAATGTAGTTTGGGGCAGTTAAAAATGAGACTGCTAACAGCAACTGACAAGGTTAAACTGAGACTTCCTTTCTCATTAGAAGGGGATGACTTTATCTGTGTAGTCTTCATTCTTTAAGGTTGTATTGCAGTTTCTCCTGAAGCCCATAATGTCTCTGTCACTTTCAACTCCAGCTACCTAGTGACATGGAAAATTGGAGAAGGTCTGTATTGGAAACTTTCCAGGAGGCTGTTCTCAGGAGTGTCTGCTTTGTCTCTGAGCTAAAACTTTACAGCTCTTAGAATTGCTTTGGCTTCTTCCTTTTAAGATGTATACAAAACTGGAGGGACAGTGAATAGAGCCCTTTCATGCTCCACACCTGCTCACAAAGAATCAATGCCCCCTGTACTGCATAATGCCCAAGATCTTGAAAAGGATTTTTTAACATATTTTTCAGTGTGTGTGTGTGTGTGTGTGTGTGTGTGTGTGTGTGTGTTTAGTTGATTTGGGTAGGAAAGTAAATATTGTCTCTATTCCACTCTGACAGGGGACAGTAAACTGTGAAGCTGGTCTTTTTAAGGTTAAAAGCACTTTACATTTTAAACTATAAATGTTCATCAGCTCTATTTTGGTTCCAGACTACCTGCTTAATTTGGTACTATCATCCTTTTTTTCCTGGGTCTGAAAATTCAGGAAAGGCTTTCAAAGTATTAACGATCTAACATTATTCTAATTTCCAGGAAGAGTATTCCAGTTAAAATGAAAATATACTGTTTTAGGGCCCGGCTGATAATACAGTGGGTTGGGAATTTACCTTGCAGGCAGCTGACCTGGTTCAATCCCTGGCATCCCATTTGGGATCCCTGAGCACCACCAAGACTAATTCATTCCTTAATGAAGAGCCAGGAGTAGCCCCTGAATATTGCCAAAAAACTGAGAGAGAGAGAGAGAGAGAGAGAGAGAGAGAGAGAGAGAGAGAGAATGCCTGAGAAGTAGGTAGTGAAAGGACCACCAAACAGGCTGCTGCACTACTCCCAGTTTCTCTCCCTGTTTATGAAGAACTTGCTGCAGCCCTCAGTAGGTTACCCTGTTCTTCCCAGATTTAGTCCATTTTCTTTAGGATTGTTGGAATTTTAGCCTCTAAATCTCATTTTAGTAAGTCTGTTCTTTTTCTTTAAAGCAGATGCCTGTACCAGGGTTACAGCCTAGTTAGACAAAGAACCTGATATTCAGCACCTTCATTCAAGTTCCTGCCTAGCATAATCCAGCTTCTGTCAACAAAGAGGAGATAATGGATGTGGAAGACTCACCTGAAGAAGTGCAGGAACATAGTGACTGTCTGGAATATCTTAACTGCTTGTGTATCAGCAGAATGGAACAATGTGGTAATGTAAAGTTGTTGCAAAGAGCAAAAGCATGGGGTGGGGGTGGGGCTGACAGGGTGATTTCCTGCTTCAAGAAACTGCCTTTTAGAAGTGTTAGCTTCAGGAAGCTGTGGGTTTGAGAGCATGGGGAAGAGGACAGGTGTGTATTTCTGCATCAGTATTTGTAGTACTGCCTATGTTCACCTAGATATTACCGGGGCAGGGGGAAATACAGTAAATTCCATTGCAATCTGACAAGGGAAGCAAGTTCTTTGCCTTTATATTGTAAATCCTCTTTCCCCAGACATCTGGGAACTTGCGTACTGGGAAGTCACATTACAAAGATGACCAGGTCTTTTGCATCCTAGAGGACAGCAAACTTGAATACCATATATTTGATAATGTAGCACTGTAGCATTGTCCTCCCTTTGTTCATCGCTTTGCTGGAGTGGGCACCAGTAACGTCTCCATTGTGAGACTTGTTGTTACTGTTTTTGACATATTGAATACACCATGGGGAGCTTGCCAGGCTCTGCCATGCAGGCAGGATACTCTCGGTAGCTTGCAGGGCTGTCCAAGAGGGATGGAGGAATCAAACCCCGGTCGGCTGCTTGCAAGGTAAACTCCCTAACTGCTGTGCTCTGTGAATTAATATATCTGCTAGTCAAGACTGGTTCCATGGGGGATCTAAATCTTTTCTAATTTATTAATAGATAGTGGAAGTAGAGGGTTGGTATTTTGAAATTAAGAATGATACGCTGAACCTAGCCATTACCAAATAATTTAGCATTTAAATTTTTTCCACTTTTTTTTGTGGTACCAGCTACCAAATTGAGAACCTCAAACATATGAGGTACACAGTCTACTATTGAGCTATATTCCCCTTACATGGTTAGGTTTAGAACAAATTTGACTTGAAAGATGAAGAACTTAATGTTGTGTGCTCATTTTTCAGTCTAAAAGAAGGGTATCTTTTACTGAAATTCTACTGTTAAAAAACACATTTCTTTCTTTTTTCTTTCTCTCCTCTCTCTGAATTTTATTTTTTCTTTGGGACAATATGCCATTTTATTCCCGTAAAATAAAGTTTATATTGAAAAAAACTTAATAAAAATGCTAATATTTATGAACTAAGATTAGGTTTCACTAACTAAAGCTATTTGATCAATCAGGATGTCATACTTGTTAAACTAAACTGACCAGTAAGAATGTTTCACATGAAAAAAAGCAAATTTTGAACTGTTTTTGGATTATGAATCTAGCATTTATATTATAAAAACATCTTGTTCATTTCTTTGTTCTTTTGAGTGGTAGTGACTGATGCCATATTCCCAACTAGAAATTCAGTGGTTATGGTGTCATAGTGCAATATAGGTGGCATACGACTTTGAAGAAGTTTGGGAGAGAACAGTCCAGGTGTTAGAAGAGAAATGAGAGGAATGGAGCTGGATGCTAGGGAGGACAGTAGATTTGGGGAAATAAAAGAGAAAAGAAAGGTGGACGAATAAATATTAGTACTCTTACATAAAAAAAGAGAGAGGTTTTGGAAGACTAATAAGAGGGGCAAATAAATTTTGGGGGGTATTGAAGGGATATTTAGTTCTTACCCTTGTCACAATAAAAAATCATGGAATACTTTAAATTTTCGGGCCTTTTTTTTTTTAATGCAGGACCAGAAAGAATGAGAGATGAAATTTTTGTCTTAAGAGATGTCCTAAAATGTCACTGAGAATGGTTTTAGACCATCTATCCTACATTTCTTCTTCTCTGACTAGAACTTTGGTCAATACTTCTGTGATACTGGGAGATCCATATGAAATGCAGTAGTTGAAGGAAAGTGAGCAGGAACTTTATCTTAAGTGTGATTTTAATTTCAGTATAGTGACTTGTAGTCATGAGGGGAAGAGAGTCTGGGGGACGGTGTTCTATGGGTGTTTGTCCAGCAGCACACTGCTATTTGCTGATTATCAAAATAAGCTATTAAAGGCAGATATGCCCAGTATCCAGTGCTTTACTACTTTTTAAAACATGGGGATAACCCAGAGTTTAGGGGTCTGTGTGGAAGATAGAAAGCTGATTGTTGACCTTGGTCAGGCCAAAGTCAAATAAGGAATTAACACTTGTGACCATGAGTTCATTTTTCCTTTTGCTTGGTGCATTTTCTTTTTTCCCACCAGAATTTATTTATTAATTAATTAATTTATTTATTCACTTTTTATGTAGGAGTACTGCTATTTATTCAGCCACTGATCAGCTGATTGCATTGGGCATGGACTCCACCTTACTTTTTTTTCATAGTTTTATTTATTAACCCCAATATACCCCCCTCCCACCCCACCCAATGCCTGTGAGGCAGATGATTTCTACTTAACTCTTCTCTACATTGATTACATTCATCATTTTGACAAAAGATGTACCATTATTGTTTAGAATTTCTCCCCCAACAATCAGAATTGCTGAAAAGGCATTTCCGTGAAATACTTTGTTTTCTATTGCTGGTTATGAGAATCATATAATGTTGTGCAGCCACTATTATGGCCACGCAATTTTGGATTTCTGCAAAGAGCCAGATAATTTAGAGATTGGTTTCTGTGCATCTGGTGTTATGGCTGTGCCAGAGAGCCGCTCGTGGAGGGCAACTCAGGACCTCGGAAGGGCGTGAAGGACGAGTTGGTACCATCCCCCTTCCCATGACATTGCAGTTGCCACATCCCCGCCGGCTCATATCTGACTTTCCAATAAGCTCTGAGGCAGCAGCCACCTTGCTGCTGGTGGGGAAAAAAGGCAGAAGGGAGCAACACCCTTTCCCTCCCGGGGAGGCATGACCATAGTTTAACGCATGGTCCATTCACTTTTCTGCCGCAAGCTGCTGGGCTCTGGATTAAGTCCTTTTGCATCTGGAGCCATGGTCGTGCTGGAGAGACGCTTGGGGGGGGGGTGGGGGGCAACCTGTGACCTCAGTAGGGCGTGAAGGATGAGCCGGTACCGACCCTCTTCCCTTGAGACTGCAGTTGCCCCGTCACCACAGGCTCATACCTGGCTTTCCAATAAGCTCTGAGGAGGCAGCCACCTTGCTGCCAGGGAGGAAAAAGGCGGAAGGGAGCAACACACTTTCCCTCCTGGGGAGGCATGGCACCGTAGTTTAATGCATGGTCCATTTACTTTTCTGCCGCAAGCTGCAGGCTCTGGACTAAGTCCTTTTGCCTCTGGAGCCATATCTGTGCCGGAGAGCCACTCGTGGAGGGGGGGGGGGGGGGCAACTCGTGACCTTGGTAGGGCGTGAAGGATGAGCTGGTACTGACGCCCTTCCCATGAGACTGCAGTAGCCCGTTCACAGCCGGCTCATACCTGGCTTTCCAATAAGCTCTGAGGCGGCAGTCACCTTGCTGCCGGGGGGAGAAAGGCAGAAGGGAGCAACACCCTTTCCCTCCCGGGGAGGCATGGTGCCGTATGGTCCATTTAACGCATGGTCCATTCACTTTTCTGCTGCAAGCTGTCGGACTCTGGATTAAGTCTCTGGAGCCATGGAGCCTTGTATGGCCGTGTATGCAGTCCAGATGCATTTCTGCCAAAAGCTGCTGGGTTTCGAGATTTATTTCTGAGTCTTTGGGATTGTGGCCATTAATTAGCTTGATCAGGAGCCAGAGAGGCCATTTGTAGGTGGCGACTCGCTGGGATGGGGAGGAAAGGGCCGGTTCCACCCCCATCTGGTGAGGCCCCATGTGTCTCGTCACTGCAGGCCCAAACCTGACTGTCTTGTGGCCTCTGGAGGATGACAGTCACCAGACCACCCAGGGGAACAGGCCAAGACACGAAACCTATTCCCACCTGGAGTGGCCCAGCCCCAGTAACCTACTGAAGGAACAGGACACATTTCTGCCAAAAGCTTTTGGGTTCTGAGATTCTTTTCTGAGCCTCCGAGATCATGGCTGTTAAGCAGTTTGATCAGGAACCAGCGAGGCCATGCCTCCAATTATATAGCTGAGCCGGAGGTGGTTTGTAGGTGTGTCTCCCACTTACCTAACTTTTGGCCATTTACTTTCTTGGGGTAAACTTTGCCCCAAGTTTTTGGGGTCTTGCCAAAGGCACAGCAGCAATTTTGGGATATCTGAAGGCCTGATGGTGCCATCAGGCTGCTGATGCACTTGCCTCACAGGTACAGATTGACCTGTTCGTGGCACCATACCCACACCCCCACCAGAATTTAGACTGTTGCCAGATTTAGTGCAAAAGAATAAAGGTGTTATATTTCTACACATGTTTTTGAGTAAAGTTAAGCTTTCTCCTGTATAAATATCAAACATATTTTAGATATCCAAATATGATACCATGCTAAGTTTGTATTTACTGCACCAATCTGCAAAGCTACCTTTATAAAGTGGCCATACTGTCTTATATTTCCAACATCAGTGTATGAGAATTTCAATTCTACACTGGTTCTGTTATTTTGTTTTACTTTACACTCACAATAGGCACAGAGGTAAATCAGATTTTAATTAGCATTTCTTTAATTCATGCTATCTTGAGCATATTCTTATGTGCTAATTTGTCACCTATGTATCTTCTTCAATTTTATTTAAGATATGCAAACTGGGTGATTCAAAACCCACCTTCAACCTGTGTTTTTTTCTTATTTTGAGTTTTCAAGGTTCTTAATATAGTCTAGATACAATTTTTGACCAGATCTTTATCAAAACTGTGCTAATTCTTCAGACAGTAGCTCTAAATCATGTGAGGTGACACCTGCTTTTGGCTTTTGATTGAAATCTTCCTGTTAATGAGTGTCAGGAAGCATACTGATGCACCTGTTGGCCATCTGGATGTTTTTTGAGACTGTGGGGAGCTAATCCCTGACCTGACACAGAGGAGGCATATGCCTCACTGCTGATCCTCACATCTGACCTTTCTACCTTTGGCTGTTTCTTTTCACCTTCCTGAACTCTTTTGCCTATAGCTGTAGGATTTCCTATGGCTGGAGATTCTATTTCTTTTATTTTAGACCTTCTTTGAGCCATGATAAGAGCTTATGGGTCATAACCCTTTGTCAAAGGGATTGGCAATAGGGAAAGTGTGCTGAAGCTGATGTTGTAAGTAGATTTTTGTGATAAACTTGTTTTCCTCATAAGGCTTTCAGAAAAATGAGATGATGATATTTTACTTTAAAGGTACACATAAACAAGAAAAATATAGAACAACTCGAAGTTCTGAAACTCTTCACAGACATGCTTTCTGCATCTTCAGTATTTTGATCATGGTTATATATATAGTTATACTTTCTGTTACTTTGACAGGTAAGTTACTTGTTTTGAAAACTCTGTAACATCCTCCATAAATTAATATGGTCATAAATATTCCCTTGAGTCCTATTTTATTCCAGGCACTGTGCAAAGTGTCTGGGGTTTATTGGTGAATTAAACATAAAAATGCCTTCTTCCAATTTATATTCCAGAATAAAGATGTAACTGTCCTAATAAATTAAGGTAGGGGTAGGGAAACAACCTGCAATGCACATAGAAGTTACACATAATCTTTAGTGAGAATCTCTCTCTTTCTGCAAACTTTTGAAAGAGATGAAGGTAGCATGCTGATATGTGGGGAAAAACTCTTCAGGCACAGAAAACAATAGAGCAAAATCCAAAGAAGGAATATCCCTCATGCTTTGAATAAGAGCAAGGAGATTGCAGGGGCTAGAACAAGGTAATACAAAGGAAGAATCATGGGATGGGTCCAGGAGACAATAGCTTTGGGAGCCACTTAAAGACTTTGGGTTATACTTTGAGTAGAGAAGGAAAGATCAGGAAAAGGAGGGTTATAAAGAGGAATGTTATGGCTCAGAGGTTTGCATTGGAGAATGATAATTTTTACTTTGCTACTAAGAAATGACTGTTAGAAGAGAAGAGGAGAATCAAGGAGACCTACTCGGGTGATCTCGTAGAAATTTGGGTGAGAGATGTTGATAGCTTAGATCTGCTGAGTGCAGTGTAGGTGTGTTAGAGTGGTCAGGTTCTAGATACTTTGAATGTTGGATCCACAATATTTTATAACAGATTGCATATGAACATTTGCAAAAAGAGACTCCTATGTAACTCTAAGGATTTACTGCTGAGCCATGGCAAGAAATTAGTTATCATTGTTGATAAGAGAAAGTCTTATCAGGGGTTTTATACTTGTATCTGTTTCTTGTACAGACAATGTTCAAACATCAGAACTATATGTTTTAACAAATATTTCTTTGTATGTAGAATTGGTCAGAAATAAATGAATGACCAGAATTCATAAATAATTATTTCATCTATTCCGATTTTAATATTGTCTGTTTATCAAGGCCTTTTCCAACAATGTGACGGAGACTTTTTTTTTTTTTGGCCTGGGTGAGGAGCAAGGGAAGGGAGATGCATGCTGAGATTCATGTCAGGGTCTCATATAGACAAGGCATGTACTGAGCCCATCTTGAAGCATTTCTGAAATCTAATAACAACTAACAATTTTTACTGAAGATTAAATTGTTTAAAGAACATTGTAAATGTAAATTTTAATTATCTACTAGAATCTGAATTCTCTTGATACCTACCACTGCTCTTTTTAGATAACACAAACACAAAATGTCCTTCATTTTATATTTCTACTTGAGTTTTGTGTAATATGTAACATTGCCAATTCAATGTGTACTATTCAGCATAATTTTAAAGTATCATGTGGTTCTCCCTAATAATTTAAGGGGGTATGTTTTGTTTTGGGGGGTATTCACACCTGGTTGTGGCTAAGGCTTACTCCTGGCTCTTTGCACATGGGTACCTCTTAGTTGGGCTTGTGGACCCAATGAAGTTTCAGAGATGTAAACCTGATCTGTGTATGAAAGGTGAGCACCCAACCCACTATACTATTGCTCCAGGGCCCCCTTATTATTTTTTAAAGGAAACAGTGATACTGACCTCAACACACGTACTCTCTGCTCTCTAATCTGAAATCCCTAGGTATAAGGATTGAGAAAAATGTAACAGATTGTTTTATTTAAATGTGAGGAAATTAAAATCATCATTAGTTTTCAGTATTTTGATACTATGTTTTTTCTTCCACTATGACTTAAAGAACAATGGAATCTTAGTAACTAAAGGAGATTTTAAAAAATTAGACAAATAATAATATCTGATACTTCCTACACCTTACTGCAAAATATTGGTTATTTCAGAATATTTAAGAAGTGCCAAAAATGTCTTATTTTTTAAAAAGTAAACAAAAAACAAATTTATAAAAATGTATAAAGTCCTATATTGTATTTTTGTTACAAGTATTTAATATTTGGGTTGCTATATTTTGTCCACAGAAAGATTATATATCTACTGAGTATGGACCATAGTAAAATCCAGGATATAAAGGATGTCAAGAGGAAGAGGAGCTTATATTAAGGAAAATATAGGAGAACCCATATGATATACTAGGAATATCTTGTACTTGCTTTTTGCAGAAATTAGAATCATCTATAAAAAGTACCATGGACTTGATGCTTTATAAATTTATTTTCTCTAAGCCATTAATGCCCATGTACTTCTTGTAAAATGAGATGCATAGGTACTTGCTACTGGGGGATTGTTGATTATTGTACTTAGTCTATAGTTTTAGCAATGACCTTAGGATAGTAAGTGGGAAAATATATTAAAAGAATGAGGAAATATATTTAATGTATTTTATTGTGATTATCCAAATTTTAGGAAGAAAGGAAAAAACAATCTCAAAAGTGCATGTGCATTCCGCCTGCCCACCAATGTGGATTGGATTTGGAAACAAGTGCTTTTATTTTTCTGAAGAAGCAGGAAACTGGACCTTCAGCCAAACTTTCTGTGACTCATTGGAAGCTAATCTTGTTCAGATTGACACCGAAGACGAACTGGTAAGAATTGTTCTGAGGCCTCAGGGAGACAGTACAAGTGTGAGAGCACGTGCCTGTCACATGTAGGGTCATGAGTTCAGTCGCCAGCATCACATACCCAGCATCTCAGGGCCCACTTGTCACTCTGCTTGCCCTAGTGCTGTCCGTGCACACTGGGAGTGTGCTTTGCAGGGAGTGGCCCCTTCCTATTTTTCCCAGTGCCCCAGGATCTGGTCCATATTTTTAAAAGAAGAAATATTTAGGGAGCATATTTTCTGTTGAATAAGGAACTCCCCCACAGGGGGTTGGGTGCTGTACTAGGCTAAGGCTGAAAGATAAAGATGTCCTCAAATCAGTCTGGAAGCATAGGGGGCACAGACAAGCTTCTGATGTATGTTGAATTCTATGTCTAGAACCCATTGAGACATGTCAGATTCGTTTTCCTATGTAATCCTCATAGTCGACCTAGAAACTTAGATGAACTGTTATCTGTGTGCAGAGAGTTGCTGTATTCACATAATTTTTCATTCAAATTGTAGGAGTGACAGTGTTCACAATATACTAAAACATAGGCATAAAGTGAGACTTTGCCAGTCACACTGGGAGATATGATTCATTTAAAGAAAGAGGTTTCGGAGCAGAGATATAGAATAATGACTCAAGCTGAGAAATGCAGTAAAGAATAACTTTTTCACTTATACTTTGCTGTCATCCCTAATAGAAGACTGTAAGAAACATAGACTCGGGAGTGATAAGCAAGAAAGATGCATGTTTTCACTTTTTATGTTTATAATAGAAATTTCTGAGAAGATACAACGGCCCTGATGACCATTGGATAGGCCTTAGCAGAGAATCACCAAGTCACTCTTGGAAATGGACAAATTCTGCTGAAGACAACATTGTGTATGTATTGCCACTTATTTTCCTTTTGCTTTAATGACTTACGGTGTTTATAAGAAAATAACTTTAATATAGAAAACCTACGGCACTGTGCAAGAGATAGAAATTGTTTCTATGCCTTTCCATTTACTAGCCAGTTCCTTGAAAACGTAATTTATTTTTATTTCAGTTGAAATAGTTAATATGATGATGACATATATATATATATGTTCTTGTACTTTAATACCATGATTCAGATGTTTTTCTGATGAAATTTTGATTTAGAAGGCAGAAAGAACTGCTGGTATACACTAGGAAAGGAATGGGAGGAGTGTTCTCAAGCCCTAGAAAGTCGCTGATGAGGTGATCCCCATAAAACCTTTAAAAATCCATTTTCAAAGCAACACAGGAGCCCAGCAAGCTTACTTATTGAAGACGCTAGCCCAGAAGACCCCAACAGTAATAAAGTGCTATACAACCTCTTTGACAAAGAATTTAGAAGGGAGCTACAGAGGATGCTTAGGGAGCTAAAAGAAACAATAGAAAGCAATGCCAATAGAAGACAAGAGAATTTGAAGGTAGAAATGAGGAAAATGCAAACAAAATTACAAACGGAAATGTCGGACCTGAAAAACCTGATAGGTGAATTGAAAAACTCAGTGGGAGGCCTCAGCAGCAGAGTAACAGCTGCTTAAAACAGAATCAGTGAGCTTGAAGTTGAAGTCCAGAGACTCTCCAGAAAAGAGCAGAAAATGGGAAAGAGACTCCAAATCCCAGAACCAGATGGCAAGAGAAGATCCTGATGAAGCCAAGAGGAGTAACATAAGAATTATGGAGTCTCGATTCAGCCGAAGAGAAGGGCAACATGGAGGGCGGGATCCACAGATCCCGAAGGAAAAAAAAAAAAACAGGTTCCAAAAAGAGCCGAGATCATCGGGAAGCCCCAGATGGGGTAGGTACCGCATCCGCCTCCCCCAGATGGAACCCCGGTGACCAGGAGCCTCTACAACCACAGCTCGAGTATGCGGGAACTAGGACTTTTCCTCAAAACCGCGCGGCCGCGTGAGCGGCCGCGCGACATCTCTCTATATACGAAGTGATCCATGGGAAGCAAACCACCCAACGTTTCTCTCTGAAAATCATAGTTAAGTTTGGAGCACGGCCACAGCCCCAGAAACACAAGGACTTAATGCATAACCCAGCAGCTTGGAGCAGAAAAGTGAACGGGCTATGCGTTAATTCAGGCCATCATGTCTGCCCGGAGGGGAAAGGGTGTTGGTCCCTTCCACCCTCCTTCCTCTGGAAAGAAAGATGGCGGCCACATGGGAGCCTTGTGGACAGCAAGTATGAGCTGGGGGTGTGGGGGCAACTAAAACCTCATGGGAAGGGGGGCATTCCGGTCCGTCCTTCACGCCCTACCGAGGTCACCAGTTGCCCCCCCTGAGCGGCTCTCCAGCACGGCCACGGCCCCAGAAGCACAAGGACTTAATGCAGAACCCGGAAGCTTGGAGCAGAAAAGTGAACGGACCATGCGTTAATCCAGGCCATCAAGTCTGCCGGAGGAGAAAGGGTGTTGCCCCATTCGCCCTCTCTTCTCTGGAAAGAAGGATGGCAGCTGCATGGGAGCCTTGTGGACAGCAGGTATGAGCCGGGGAAGTGGGGGTGACTAAAACCTCATGGGAAGGGGGGCGTTCTGGTCCGTCCTTCATGCCCTACCGAGGTCACCAGTTGCCCCCCACGAGCGGCTCTCCAGCACGGCCATGGCCCCAGAAGCACAAGGACTTAATGCAGAACCCGGCAGCTTGGAGCAGAAAAGTGAACGGACTATGCGTTAATCCAGGCCATCAGGTCTGTCCGGAGGGGAAAGGGTGTTGCCCCAGTCGCCTTCTCCTCTTTGAAAGAAAGATGGCGGCCGCATGGGAGCCTTGTGGACAGCAGGTATGAGCCGGGGGAGTGAGGGCAACTAAAACCTCATGGGAAGGGGGGCGTTTCGGTCCGCCCTTCACGCCCTACCGAGGTCACCAGTTGCCCCCCACTAGCGGCTCTCCAGCACGGCCACGACTCCAGAGCACAGAAACCAATTTCTTAACTATCTGACTTTCAGTAGAAATACTTCCAGGGTCAATAAGTAAAATAGCAGAAATCCAAAACCAACATTTAATTCTTGAACCCAGCTGTAGAAAGCAAATCACTTCACAATGCTTTTTCAGCATGTCTGATTTGGGGGGGGGGGGTAAACTCTAAATAATAGTGGTGAATCTTTTATTGAAACAATGAATCTAATCAAAGCAGATAGAGTGTCAACTAGAATTCATCTGCCCCAGAGGGACTGGGAGGGGTGGGGGGTGGGGTTTTATTGGGGTTCTTCATGGTAAAAAATAAGTTTTGGTAAAGGGAAATGTGCTTGATATTTGCATGACTGAGACCTAAAACTGAAAGCTTTGTAACCTTTCCCATGGTGATTCAATAAATTCGTCGATTGCCTCGAGCAGGCCCCAGTAACGTCTCTTTCATCCTAGCCCTGAGATTATATTCAAGGCTCTTTAGGAGAATGAGACCCATCATTGTTACTGGTATTTGGCATATTTGGTATGCCACGGGGAGTTTGCCAGACTCTGCCCTGTGGGCAGGCTACATTTGATAGCCTGCAAGTTTGTCCAAAGTAGGAATGAGATAATAAGATGTCATAAAAAGATGTTCTGATAAGATGTCGCGCGGCTGCAAATGCGGCCGCGCGGTTCCGGGATCTGGATGTTATAGTCTCTGAGTCTTGGCCGCTGATGGGATTACACGGCGCCAGGCGTCCAGGTGGTGGGTGTGACCCCTGCCTACTGGAATTTGGAGGATCTGGGTGGAAGATGCTCGACTCCAATTCGAGTAGGCTTGGAGGTCTCGGCCCCGGAACCCGCGTGGCTTTGTCCCTCTGCCAGTACCTTCATGTGTGCAGAGAGTGGTCTCAGCATGGTGGTGGCTGGTCCTGGAGGTCTTCGGCAGCCGAAGACCCCCAGGACCAGCCACCTCCAGATTCAATAAATAAATAAATAAATTTAAAAAAAAAGAATTATGGAGTCTCAGAGAAACAGAAAGAAAACCCTGATGAAGAAGAAACTGTCAAAGACATCATTGCCATGACGTTTCCAGAGCTGAATAAAACATGCGTCCACATTCAGGAGGCCTGAAGGGTACCGGCTAGAAGAAATTTGAATAAAAATACTCCAAGACATATCCTGATCAAAATGATCAAAACCTTAGATAGAGAAAAAAAATTATAAAAGCAGCAAGATCAAAGAAAGAAATTTCCTATAAAGGAGCATCTTACAGAATCACAGCTGATTTGTCTGATGAAACACTCATGGCCCGAAAACAGTGGTGGGATATAGTGAAAAAACTCAATGAAATAAATGCCTCACCAAAAATACTTCACCTAGCGAGAGTCTCATTCATAACAAGAAGGAACAGCACACAGTTTTACAGACAAAGAACAACTCAGGAACTTCATAGACTCAAAATCATGGTTACAGGAACAACTAAATGGGCTACTTTAAGACAAGACAGGCCCCTCAAATAGACCAAATTTCAACAGAAAAATGGGACAAAACCCCATAACAATAATCTCTCTCAATGTCAATGGGCTAAACGCACCAATTAAAAGACACAGAGTGGCAGGATGGATTAGAAAATTGAACCCAACTTTCTGCTGCCTGCAAAAAACACTTCTCAATAGTTAGAGCAAGCACAGACTAAAAGTCAAAGGCTGGAAAACAATCATACAGGCAAACAACTCCCATAAAAACGTTGGGGTAGCATCCCAGTATCAGGCCACATGGATTTCAGACTGAGGAAGGTCACAAGAGACCATGAAGGCCATTTCTTATTGATCAAGGGATCTGTACAACAGGAAGAACTTACAATACTAAATGTATATGCACCTAATGGGGGACCAGCAAATTACTTAAAACAAGTACTCATAGACTTGAAAGAAGACATTGATAGAAATACAATACTAGTGGGAGACTTCAACACCACTTTATCACCTCTTAATATATCAACTAGACTCAAGCTTAGCAAGGACATACTTCATCTGAGGGAAAAAATGGAATAAAGGGACTTAGTAGTTATATACAGGGCACTTCATCCTCAAAAAGCTTACACATTCTTCTCAAGTGTGCATGGAACATTCTCCAAGATAGAACACATGCTGAGCCACAACACATACCTCCATAAAATTAAGAAGGTAGAGATTGTATCAGCAATCTTCTCAGACCACAGTGCACTGAAATTAGAAGTAAATCACACACACACAAATACAAAACTAAATCAAACACCCGGAAATTAAATAGCTCACTATTGGATAACAAGTGGCTTAGAAAGGAAATCAAAGAGGAAATCAAAAGATTCCTGGAAATGAACGAAAATGAGGACACGAGTTACCCAAAATTTATGGGACACAGCAAAAGCTTTGTTAGGAGGAAAGTTTATGTCTCTACAAGCATTCTTCAGGAAGGATGAGCAAGTCCACATAAGTAACCTAACCTCACACAGCTTAAGAGCTTGGAGAATGACCAACAAAAGGAGGCCACTCCAAACAGGAGGAAGGAAATAATAAAACTCAGAGCAGAGATTAATGAGATGGAACCCTCCCCCCCCAAAAAAAACAATCCAAAAGATCAATGAAACCAAGTGCTGGTTCTTTGAGAAAATAAACAAGATTGATAAGCCTCTAGCAAGACTCACAAAGAAAGGGAGAGAGAAAACCCTAATAAACTGAATTAGAAATGAAATTACAACAGAAACTACAGAAATTCAAAGGATCCTAAGGGAGTACTTTGAGAAGCTTCTTGCCACAGAACACGAAAACCTCGAGGAAATAGATAAATTCCTAGATTCCTATAGCCTCCCAAGGCTAAACCAAGAAGACCTGGAATACCTGAACAGACCTATCACCATCAAGGAAATTTAAATGGTAATAAAAAGTCTTCCCAAGTATGGTGCCGCCATCAGGTCAATCTGTACCTGTGAGGTGA